TAAATTTTGACGGAAAAGTGGCCGGAAGGACCATTTTTGCAAAAAAATCAATAGTCGTGGACTAAAATTGCAAGGTTCAAAAGTCGTGGATCAATTCTGTCAGTGCCATTATAGTCGTGGGGCTAAAAGTGCAAAAAACTCCACTTTAGCTTAAGGAAAAATAATATCACATTTCTTTAATACTCCCACTTCACTACTAAAACTGTAAGATTATTCTCCTTTTAAAAAACTTCATTTTAATTCGTAGAATTGTATTTTCTTTTAAATTTTAATTTATTTATTTGATGAAAAGTAGTGAGAAAATATTATATATATATATATATATATATATATATATATATATATATATATAGGCGGGTTCAGGTGCGACAGTGTCTTACGGTGCAGCAACACCAATAGTTCAACAAATATGCATCATCAACGTTAAGAAAATACACAACACAAAACAGAGTAAACAGAGCCCTGCATCACCAAACACACACCATTAGGTGTGAGTAAAAACACCATACACTGTTCGGAAATACACCATTGGGGGTGGTGAGTTATATGGTGTATTTTTTTGAGTCTGTTGTGTATTTTGTGATGTTTTATTACATTTCATTGTGGTGTGCTTTTATTACACTGTTGGTGCATATTGTTAACACTGTTGGTGTATTCTGGAATTCCGCCGCACCGCCGCACGGGAAGACCTCGCCGCATTTGAACTTTATTCTATATACTAGTTTTTTACGCGCATTGCGCGATTGGGATAATGCCCAATGTTTTTTTTTTTTTTTTAAATAAGTACTTTAAAGTATATTAAGGCAAGATTATATTGAAATTGTTCATGTATAGATAATTGAAGGTTGAATTTGTGTATTTAAATAGGTAATTCTTCTCCCAAAGGTTGAGTCCCCAACCCCAAGGGCCCCCCACACTCTGACCCGACAGAGCATTGTGGGAAGTTGTAAATCACGGTGACTCAATGGTTCAGCAGACAGGACCAAATGCCGGTGCGAAAAAGGAATCTGCCCACTTTGGACATAATTCCCGCACTGCCGCCACCGAGGTTCAAACCTTGGTCTCTTCTCCCAAATACTGCCCACTAAACCATTAAGCTAAGCCCGTGCAGGTTAAATAGGTAATTCTAAGTTTACAAATGCAAGATAATATAGTCAAGATTGATTATAATTGTCAATAAAATAATTGTATAGGTATGGTTGAAACCAAATACGGGACATAAGGGAGAACAAATAAAAATTAGGGCATAAAATATTAAATATATACTAATATTGTTTGAGGAGATTTCGACATTAGGATTTGTGGTTAAGTTTTATTAAGACTTTAATATTATGATTAGATTAATGGTGTAATTATAATTATATATTAGACATTAATATTAGAATTAGACTAACGGTGAATTAACAGTATTTAACGGAAAAGTTAAATGGATAATCATATAATTAAGGATAAATTAGAAAAACTTTAAAAAAAATTAAAACCTGAACAATTTGAATCATTCATTTGATTTAATAATTTGGCGGTCATTTTTTCTACCCAATGTTAATAATTAAATAAATTTGTTGGTTAAACCCGCTAACTGCTGATTGTCAAACAAGGACATTGCAAGGTAGTTCTCACTTCAATTTGTTGTGTGATTTGAATACTCTCTTTGTCACAAAATCTCTCAAGTAGTTAATATGGTTGGCTTTATTAATTGTATATTTTTTTTAATTTTTTCATGGTATTAATAAAATACTTGGTAAATAAATATATAGCATTATTTTGTATTATAACTTTGATATTTAATTAGAAAAATAGTGCACAAAAAAGATATTAGACAATGTAGTGAATATAATCAATTGATGAATTTGAATGTAAAAATTTTTACATTTGAGAAAAATAAAGACAATATAACTAATGAAAATATTTCTCTTAATTAATTTATTGATAATGAATAATTTTTTTTTTACTGCATTAAGACATTGTAAGGACAATGTAGCGAATATAATCAATTAATAAATTTGAATATAAAGAATTTTTATATTGTAGAAAAATAAAGACAATATAACTAATACAATTATTTCTCTTATTTAATTTATTGATAATGAATAATTTTTTTTGAATAAAGGCATTGTGGACACATAATTCTAAATTAAAGAAATGCATATCTATAATTTTTTGTTGTAGCTACTAAATTATTATTTATATATAATTTAATAAGAGTAAAATAGACTACTAATTATGCCAACTTTGATTGGGATGAGGTTCGAACCTAAGACCTTTTTTTTTTATTGAAATTAATGAGTAAGTTAACGGTGAACTAACGGAAATTCTTAAAATTTTAACGGAATTAGTAACGGTGTGTGGGTATTTTAGGAAATTTTAGTGTAAAATTTAAATCTTATCAATCTTTTAATCAATCTGAGCCATTCATTTGATTAAAATCTGTGACCGCCATTTTTTCTACCCATTATAAGCCTAACTCTCTTGGGCTCTTATTAGTATAGTAGATATATATATATATATATATATATATATATATATATATATAGTGTTCTTTATTACTATATGTTATTTAATTAATAAAATATATACATATCCTTAAAAGTCATTTACATTTTATTAGTTAAAAACTAACTCCTAATTTTACCAAATATTTCAGTATAAAAATATAAATAGCTAATATTATCAGTTTATCAAATTAGTACAACCAACTAACCAATAATATTTATCACATTCTGCTAATTAATAGCATCCAATTGCTAAGTTCTCTCTAAACTATTTTCTCTAACTTTTTATTTAGGTAAAATGACATGTTTCATTCTTGAATTACAAGAAAATAACATTTTTTTCATCCTCAATTATACAACCATTGCTTTTCATCTCTCAATAGTCTACGAAGTGGTTATTTTCTTCATTCAATTATCTGCGAAGTTAAACTTTAACTGAATTCTAATAAAAATCAATGTTGGAAAAAGTTCATTTACAAATAATTAAAAGGCAAAAAGTAACAAAATGTCTAAATGTATAATTGAATGAGTGCTATTTTTTTCCCTTTTCTTTTTATCCCTTATTTGTTGGCTAAACAAGAAATACATTTACTATATATACTATTCAATACCATAAAAACTTAAATCAATTTTGAAAATATATGCACATGGGTTGGTTTTATTTTTTAAAAATATGAATTTAATACATATGTTATTCTTATGTGCATGACTAATTTTGGTCTTTGGATTGTGTTATTTGTTTATTTATTATAATAATATGAATTCTGTACTTTTTTAAAATAAAATTTCTCTAATTTTTTTTTATTGTTGATATTCAAAACTATACCAACAAAATATCTAAAATATTATATAAAATTCAATGGACCAATTTGATATTTTTTGTATATTTGTGCTGTTATGGGGTGTAGGCCTCGAAATTTTAAATCAGAAAACTTTCATGAAGCCAAAAAGAAGAAAAAAAATAAATAATCTGAATGTAATGGTGATGCTCAAATCTCAAGCCAATGCGATTCGGGGAGCTGTCCTTTCCAGCTTAGCACTTTTGGCATCTTCCCCTCAGCATCTGACACGTTGCTTATGGCCCAGGGGACCACCTCAATTTCCCCGAAACATCCCCACGCGCACACCCGCGCATCACAACACCACACCTCCGCCTTAATAATATCTCCCCCTTACGTGTACCAAAAAAGCTGGCCTGGTGGGTCCTATTCAGGTTACCGCAAACAAAATGTTTTGTTTTGTTTGTTCTTTTTGTTTTGTTTTGTTTTGTTTTTGTTTTTTTTTTTTAATTATTTACAATCTAACCTAATACATAGGATATGCTCAACATAATAATGTCAACATGGAGTTAATTATCAATTTGGTCCTTTGACTATGAAAATTTCACTAATTGGTTCTTGATTTTTAAAATTTTTTAATTTAGTCTCTGACTATGTTTTTTTTAATATCCGAAATGGTCCTAATCGTTGGACATCCGTTAACTTGGAACCAAATTGGTAATTTTGTTATAGTTAAGGGACCACTTCAGTAATTAACTTTCGGAGAAAATGGTACATGTGATGACCGAAATGGTCCCTTGACTATAGCAAAATTATCAATTTAGTCTCGAGTTAATAGATGTCTAACGACTATGACCATTTCGGGTAAAATAGGCATAGTCGAGGATGAAATTAGTCAAATTTGAAAGTCAAAGACCAAAGTGGTGAAACCCTCATAGTCGAGGGACCAAATCAGTAATTAACACTGTCAACATGATTGGAATGAGATTTGAACTTAATATTTTCTATTTAGAAGAATAACACTTATGCTATTAGACCATAAGGTACTTGACCAAACAAAATGTTTTTAGAAAATACTTCCTAATAATTATACTCTCCTTAAATATTTTAATTTTAATTAAAAAGGGATGATAATTATGCTCCTAAATTATTAAAAATCCTAACTAAACACCTAATTTGTCAGATTGATACAATTTAGTCGATTAACATATAACTTTTTAATAAAAATCGATTGACATAAAGTTCTAATTGGCACTAATGTATGCAAGTTTTTCAAGAAAAAACATGCCACGTGTTTATTTTTATAAAAAAATATTTATAATTTTTGGAAGAATAGTATTTTTTATATCCAATCATGAACACCACACTATGGTTGGTGAGATTTGATCCCGGATCATTGTTCTAATATTTTTTTTCATACTTCAATTCACCCTGTAACCAACTGAGCTACCCATATAGAGACTAAATTGATACTATGTTTGAGTTGTTGTTTGAAGTTAACACATTCTATTAAAAAAAGAGATTAAGTTGACAATTTTTGATAATATTTAAAAATTAAATGTGCACACATTATACATTAAACAATTATAAATGAAAATGAAAATTAATTTATTTTTAAAATATGAAAAAAAAAGGAATTAAAATCACTCTGTATTAAATTAAATTAAATTAGCATTCAAAAAAAATTAAATTAAATTAATAATTTGGTTGGGAAAATAATAATTGTGGCAAATAAATTAGAATGGGGAGAGTATGAGTTATCCTCCCAATATCCTCCACGTTTACATAAATTACTGTGCACCCAATCCCCTTTATAAACCACAGGTGCCTCCATTTTCACTGCTTATCGTAAATTCCAAGTTTCCAACCCGCACCAGTCTACCACCGTGAACCGCCGTGCCGCCACTGTTCACGGCTGTTCAGAACGTCGAGCCAACAAACATAGAGGATGGAGGATAACAACATCATCGCGCCGTTCGTTATGAAGACGTATCAGATGGTCAACGATCCCAAGCTAGACGGGCTCATCGCTTGGGGCAGAGACAATAACAGTTTCGTCGTCGTCGACCCGCTGGATTTTTCCCAGAAAATCTTGCCGGCGTTCTTTAAGCACAGCAATTTCTCAAGCTTCGTCCGGCAGCTCAACACTTATGTGAGTATATATACCTATTAACTATTAATTTAACCTCAGTCTTAATGTTTTTTTTTTTTTTTTTTTTTTTGTGGATTATAATGTTGTGGGGTGGGATTATTGTCAGGGATTCAGGAAGGTGGATCCGGATAAATGGGAATTTGCGAACGAGTGGTTTTTGAGAGGGCAGACGCATTTATTGAAGAACATTGTGAGGAAAAAACACGGCAGGGTATCTTCATCGGCGGCGTTGTTACAGCATAAACATGAAGACGGGGAAGATGATGATGATGAGGAGATTGTTGCAGAGATTGAGAGGTTGAAGGAAGAACAGAAGGCACTGGAGCTAGAGCTGCAGAGCATGAACAGGAGGCTGGAGGCGACGGAGCGGCGGCCGCAGCAAATGATGACGTTCTTGGGTAAATTCGTCGACGACCCGGAGATTTTAACCCGGATGATGCTGGAGAAAGAGAGGGCTATAAGGCTCAGCTTGAGCAGCGGCGAGAAGAGGAGAAAGCTCGCGATGTCGGAAAGTTCGTCGGTGAAGAGTGAGGAAGTAGAGGAGGAAAGCGGCGGCGGCGGAGGAGGAGGAGGATGTACAATGATACGAGGAGGGGCAATCTCGTCAATTTCATCCCCGGACGCGAATTTCGATGTGGATACGTTTTGTCAGTCGTCGCCTGAGACGCCGTCACCGGCCGCTGTTTGGTTGAGCGGCAGACAAGTTCTGGGTGGGTTGCCAATGATAAACCACTTTGGACCTTACGGTGGCAAAAATAATTGTGCCACCATTTCCACGACGTCGTCCTTGTCGTCGGGGTCCTCCGAGAGCTGCAGCTACACGGTGGCGACGCCGTTGGAGGGTTTTCCGAATTACGATCATAGGGGCACCGGAGATTCTAGTTGCTACGGCGGCGGAGGAAGTTTGAGTGGTGAGGCTGCTAGTCCACCGCCTCCTTATCCTTTTTCACTTTTAGGAGGTGGTTTTTAGTTGGGCATGTCACAAGATTTATTTTGGGGAATAAAAAACATTTTTCTTTTTTTCTTTTTTTTTTTTTTTTTTAATTTTATCGTAACCAATACAAATTCAATTTGGTAAAATCTAGGATTGGGTGAAACCCCATTTGCATTCTGTAACTCATTTTACTCCCTGTAAAGTTTTTGAGTACATATGTTGAGAAAAAAAAAAAAAAAAAAAAGCCCCACCAAAAATCATGTCAAAGCCCTATGATAAGAAAGTCAATTTTTATTCTATTTATTTTATTTTTTTTGCAAAAAATTAATACTTTTTATGAGTTAATATGCATTACAATTTTAGTGAAAAATATTATTTATTTTTTACTCACAAAAAAAAATATTATTTATTTTTTACTGTCAAAGTATATGGCTTTATGGAATAATTTGGTCTATGACATATTCACTGAGAGACAAATTTCCTTCCTGACGGGATAACAACACGTGACAATGGAATAATTTGGTCTACAAGTTATGAAAAAATCAGCCGATAGTAGGTTAGATCACACTTTGTTTAATTTTTATTCACATTTGTTCTTTTTGTATGTTGTATTAACTTATTAAATAGATAGATGTAATTAATCATTTTAAATTTCAATATTCTCATTTTGTAAAATTATAACATACAAGATATTAAAACTTTATTAAATACAAAATACAATCTTGTCTCAACACCATTTGAGTGTATCATATATACCACAAAACAATATAATATTCCTTTATTATTATATTAATAGGGGCATATATACATGATGAAGATGGAGTAAGAAAAGAAGAATGATGTGAAGATGGTAGTGTAGTGGTGTGCAAGGGAAGAAAGGGCAAGATGGCAGAAAGGCTTTCCACCAAGTGAAGTTAGGGGATTGGTAGGTGTAACGTTTCATTATTAAACAAAATATAAAATAAGACTAAACATATTAGAGTGACCTATGGGTCCCTACTTGGCTGGTTAGTACATCCCAAATAAATTTTTCCCACCTCCAAGGGGTATGTTCTTTTCTTTTCTATTTAGAAAAAAAAAAAAAAAAAAAACAAAACAAAAAAAGGAGTTAACTCGATGTGACACAACTAAGTTACTTAAGTTCTTTAGATGATACTCGATATGATTAGACTACATCTATCTTCTCGTCTCGAAGAATCTTTTGAATAATTCAGCTTCCTACCTTCAAGGGTATTTAATTATCACCTCACTTTTTGCATCTAACAATTTCTTTCGAATATATTAAACATGATTTTAATTTATTTAAACATGTTATGATGAGTTAATGTTATAGTTTCCATATTGGGGAGATAAATGAGTTCATGATATAGTTCAGTGGTAATAAATAGAGTTGTCAAAATAAGCTTTACTGATCCACCATGCTCGCCTCTCCAACGGTATGTAATAAATATATTGTGTGAACCTGAGAACCTATGCACACCCTTGATATTGCATCATCCAATAGCCCAGAACATGGTGCAGAAAATTAGTCAAACTAGGATGCGATGCACAATGTGTGTGCATTGTGTTATAAATTACATGCATCGTCCACTAATATAGATAAATAACCCAGATTAGTTATGAGGTTCACATGTTAATATATGCACCCGCGCGCACACACACACACACAAACACAAATCTTTTAGTCACTGTGTCGGTGGAAACCTTGAGTACACTTTTTTTTTTTAAAAAAGAAGTCTTTTCCTGCAACACGCAAGAGTTTGATCATTGACTTTGGTTATGGAGTAGCCTTAAATTTCCAAGCTAGATGTCTCACCCAATCAAGATGCCTACAATTCAACGAGTAGATTAATCAATATGTCCGACAGTAAAAAATCTCGGTACACAAAAAAAAAAAAAAAAAAAAAAAAACATACGGAGTATATCTTTTCGTGCACATCATAAGAAAAGACTTATGGTTTGAAATTTGAAATTGCTATTAATTATGATTAGATAGAATTGAAATATTTTATTTAATTTAATATTTTAATATTATAAATATTTGTTTAATTTCAATTCAAAAATTTTAAAATTAAAATTAAATAATTTCATTTGATTCGAATATATATATATATATTTAAAATCTTAATCATTTTTTTAATATTATTTAAGTTAAATTATTTGAATATATAATAATAATTTAATAATATTTTTTTTTTCTATTTTTTGAAGTTAGCCTCGCGAGTCCTGCGAAGGGGATTGAGATTGCATAATTTTGCAGCCCGGCCCGCAAAGATCATTGGAAAAAAAAAAAAAAAAAAAAAAGACGATGGGGCGGGCCTAATGGCGCTTCATCATATGAATTTTGTAAAAATTATAGCCACATTGATTAGATGATGAATACTTATTAGATATATATATCTTCTGAGATGAACTCTGGTTAGGCCATGTATCGTGGTCCCTCTGGGCTCATAAAGAGCTGGATCGGAGACAGCAGACTGGAGGATGAAATGTGGGATACCAAAAAAAAAAAAAAAGCATATCGTCTTTTATATTATCCCTTTTCCTGAAAACCGACAAATAATGTGATATATAGACTATGGTTATAAGATTTAGCCCCCTCGTGGGGCACTTTCATTCCACGTACGACACTTACAGCATCAATGCTTGTCCTCTTTCTTGTCTGGCCTTTTGCAGGTAGGGCACCCAATTAACCCAAACCTTCCGTTATTTTACCCCCTCAATACTTTACTTTGATGGCTTCAATTATTTTGCATTCCTTATGGCGTCAAATCAGGGCAAGAGTCCACCACTCCGTACATAAAACTAACATTGTATGTAGGTGCATAAAAAATTAAGTAAATAGAAATAATATTGATCAAACCACGAAGTGTCCTGAGCAGACCTTAATTGTAAAAGACACATTTAAGTTCGTGCCATGCTCAGATTAATTCACGTTCCCACTGAGCCAGCCCAATTAAGGAGCAAAGTGTTTGATAGATTGGTTTTTATTAATAAAAATAAAAATAATAAAATAATATTACAAGTATATAAAAATAACACCAACATTAAAATATCTATGCATTTAGAGTAATGAATTATGTACCTACAATATTACCGCAGTGAATTTATGTACTTATAGTAATGATGACTTTTATGAATTAAATTTGTGTAGCTAAAGAAATGATTTTGATGTATTTATAGATTTATTTTAAAAACTAAACAAAAATATCAAATATGAGTGTAATCTCAATTAGATATTTTTAATGATATATTATTCTTTATATATTAATTTTATTTGTAAAAATGAAAAAGAAAAAAAAATTAAAGAGATGAAGGTTTTGAATCATGATCCACCTTGCAAGCCTTAGCTTATAACAGGATTAGCAGCTCTTAAATTACTTGAATTTATGATGCAGCATAACTACTGGTCCATAATATAACTATTAGTAAACACCACATTCTAATATAATTTTACTTGTATGGTATTGTATGATTCACAAAAGATAAATGGAGCAAAAGGGTGAGTGACACCTGTCCATATGTCATCTTTGATGAAGCTCAATCTCAATCTTAATTGGTTCCCTACAACCTAAACCATGTGTGTTGGGCTTACGGAATGCATGTTACTTTAATTTCATTCTGAGGAATTATTATTATTTCTTTGTGTGGTTAGTGACGATCCACGTACAATTAGCTTAGGTTATAGCACGTTGACAAAACCAAAAACAAAAGCTTTCCTGTTGTGTTGTGTTATGTTATTTAACATGCACCAATCAATTACATACAGAAAAACAAGAGATATAAAACAAACAAAAAAAGCAAAGCTTAGTTGTATTCTACTTTCATGTTAGCTATCTTATAAAGTGGGATGAGATTGAATGATTATTTGATGTTCCTTCAATCTCAATCCCCCATATATATATATATATATATATATATATATATATATATATATATATATATATATATATATATATATATATATCCATTTATTAGAGTAAATATGGTAGTTTATTAAAATTGAAAGTTTATAACGTTAATTTGAAAATGTCAAAAGTTGTAGTTGAACTCACCCGATAAACTTGATATTCCGAGATTTTAAGATCCCGACAAAAGAAAACCTATTAGCTCGAACCGATATGTCTAAATGTCTAATATCCCAAATTCAGATAGGGTTAGCTTGAAACTGAAACCAAATGGACTAGTCTAATTGACATCCCTACCAATAACATTACATATTTACATGTCTTGTAGTAAATTTATTAGGTGGCTTGTATAATTTACATGTCATGAAGTAAATCCCAAACCGTCGACGTCCTGGATGGACTTTTTCAAAACTTATCCCACTCCACCGAATGTGGGTTCCCACTCTCATTTTTTAGTTTTAGTTCAACAATTTAGCCTACGCGATAAGCCTGTCAACATGAGGTTTAGGGTTAGGGCCAACTCGACCAGAATTTTTTTTTTTTTTTTAAAAATCAATTAGCTCAATAGGACTAGCCCGAAATCAAGCAAGTTAGTCTAATTAACATCGCACATAATATGGTAATTGCATACCCACAATTTGTATAACAATTGTTTCTCCTTTGTCTGGGTTGTGCTATGTTGGGCCAGCCTTATTTCTAATATTTTATCAGTACTCTTAGCCTATTAAGTCTTCTCAATTCGACAAAAAACTTTAAACTGAGATTTGTAAATTATTCCAGTACTTCAGTCCACCTATGTGGCCCAGTTAGCAGGCTAACAGAAGGGTGACTTGGACCAATTATTAAAGAATAAATTAAAAGTTAGACCAAAAATAATATAAGGTGATAAGCAAAGTTGTATTATTTTTGCAGTCCACAATACACATAGCAAGGAGGGTTGCTAAAAAAAGTAAGTTGCCCCAAACTCCTAAGGCCACCAAGCTATTGGGTATTGATGGATATAAATATACAGCACCTATAGAACCAGTTTTGGGCTGGAGAAATGAGGCTCCATAGGGCCCATATTGCAATTATATTCAATCTCACTATATCTCTAAATAATTCTTATATTGTATACATTGATATTTGCATCTCATAAGATGAGATTAATTCAGACGAATTTTGGTCGACTCCCATTTAATGACAATTTTTTCAAAAGCGTTGTTACATATGCAACATCTCGTTGTTACAAAATGAGACTAACCAATCGAATAGTCTCATTTCGGTCATATCTTTTTAAGAACAATTCTCTTAAAGGCGTAAATATATACATATCACTTCATATCTCGTCTAATAGTTTTCACCTCAGATAGAAATGAC